GGGGGGGGGGGGGTAGGGTTGCCGTGGCGACATACCTGTATGACCTCATGCTTGGCGACAGCAGCGAGGGGAAGCAGAGTCCGCGGTGACCTCACTGCCAGATATCGCCGTGGAAACACTGATTCATCCTGTAAAAAACAGAGCCTCGAGTGCCGACCCTCGAGAGCCGCTAAAACAGCCCGTAAACCTCACACACACACACACACCTCACTGTGCGGCCCTCACTGTTTTTGAGCGTTCCTCTTATCCAGCAGGTCACTTCCTCTAAATCTCTTCTCCTCATAAAAGCTTTACATGTTACCTTCGGCCCCTGCTGATGATGTCATCCGTGGGTCCTGGCAGTGTCCGAAATTCAACATTCGCCTCCTGGATCGGATTTAAGGGAGCATTTTTACTTTTTACAAGGACAGAGTTCAGTTTGATTTTTTCGTTCAGTCACAGCACACCGGAGGCAGCGCCGCCCCCCACTTTGTGTTTTTATTGTTCTCTCAGAAACTTTGTGCTGTTCAAATGTTTCACATGGAAAAATATGTGCTTTAAACACTGTTTATTTCTGTGTGATGGTATATATCATGTTTTATTGAATATATTCCTATCCGAAATGATATGATGATGCACGCCTTCAAAGAATTGATGCATTTTATGTATGATTTATTGAGAAAAATATGATCAAAACAAATAAAAACCGTGTAATGCACTTCTGGGAGATTTTTTTTTGGGATGGAGAGACTCAGTCCAGATCCTGATGCGTCGCTCTCTCTCTCTCTCTCTCTCTCCACTCTATAAATGTGTAATGTGAACACAACTGTTGCTTTTAGGTCTCAAGTGACTATAAACGCATTCAATTAAGCCTATTGCATTTTACAGCCGACGGCTCTCGCTTCTGACTTACAAACCTGCTCGGCTTAAAATTCACTGGATGAACTTCACTGGTGATGTCAAATACTGTGTTGCTATACAGTTGCTAGGGTGTTCTGGCCAGTTGCCAGGGTGTTGCTATATGGTTGCTAAGGTGTTCTGAGTGGCATATACTTTGTTGCTTTACAAAGTACATAACAGGGTGTTCTGGTAGCTGCCAGGGGGTTGCTATGTGGTTGCTAGGGTTTTCTGGGTTGTTGCTAGGGCGTTGCTATGGTTGAAAGAGTGTTCTGGCCAGTTGCCAGGGTGTTGCTAGGGCATTGCTATGGTTGAAAGAGTGTTCTGGCCAGTTGCCAGGGTGTTGCTAGGGCATTGCTATGGTTGAAAGAGTGTTCTGGCCAGTTGCCAGGGTGTTGCTGTGCGGTTGCTAGGGTTTTCTGGGTTGTTGCTAGGGCGTTGCTATGGTTGAAAGAGTGTTCTGGCCAGTTGCCAGGGTGTTACTATGTGGTTGTTAGGGTGTTCTGGGATGTTGCTAGGGTGTTACTACAGTTGAATGAGTGTTCTTGGCAGTTGCTAGGGTGTTGCTATCTGGTTGCTAAAATGTTCTCAGTGGTATATACTTTACTATACGGTTTCTTCTGTGTTCTTGGTAGTTTCTAGGGCGTTGCTATGGTTGAAAGAGTGTTCTGGCCTGTTGCTAGGGTGTTGCTATGTGGTTGCTAAGATGTTCTGAGTGGTATATACTTTGTTATACAGTTTCTAGGGTGTTCTTGGTAGTTTCTAGGGCATTGCTACGGCTGAAAGAGTGTTCTGGACAGTTGGCAGGGTGTTGCTAAAATGTTCATTACTTTGTTGCTATACAATTGCTAGAGTGTTCTGGGCAGTTACCAGGGTGTTGCTATGTGGTTGATAGGGTGTTCTGTGTAGTTTCAAGGACGTTGCTATACTTCACTATACAGTTTCTAGGGTGTTCTTGGTAGTTTCTAGGGCATTGCTATGGTTGAAAGAGTGTCCTGGACAGTTGCCAGGGTGTTGCTATGTGGTTGATAGGGTGTTCTGTGTAGTTTCTATAGCATTTTTATATGGTTGTTCTGAGTGGAGTGGTATATACTTTGTTGCTATACAGTTGCTAGGTTGTTCTGGGTAGTTTCTACGGTGTTGCTATATGGTTAAACGATTGTTCTGGCCAGTTTCCAGAGTGTTGCTATGTGGTTGCTAAGGTGTTTTGAGTGGTATGTGCTTTGTTGCTATACAGCTCTATGTGGTTGCTAGGACATTGCAATGTAGTTACTAAGGTATTTTGTGTGGTTTTAATGCAGTGCTTTTTGTAAGTGTCTGCTGAATTAATAAAGTAAATGTTTTTCTGTTCCAGACGGAGGCCATGAAAGCTGCGTTGACTGAGCTCGGCCTCAATATAGTGGAGATGACTGATGAATCAGCCACGCTGGACGGGGGAGATGTCCTGTTCACAGGTACCAAATTTGGTTTATAATACCTTTGTTAAACATAGACCGCCCTATGTGGCAGCGGCAGCCAATCAAATCCATGTGTGCACAGACGAAAAGCCAGTCACAGACAATCATCTAGCAGAATGTGGAGAGTGAAGTCTAAAAGTCTGTGATCACTCGTGAAAAGGCTTCTGATTTGCATTTATTTCTGTTTTAATGAAATATTATGCATACAAATTTAAATGGATAGTTCACCCAAAAATGAAAAGTTGTAGGTGACTTTTTGTCTTGAGTAAAAGATCTGTCATACATTGTGTCTGGTTGGTTCCCTGAATTCAATGTGAATCACCTCCAATCAGTGGTGGCTGGAAAACTGCAGCCGTGCACCTTATTGCGTCTGGAGACGTTCGGCTGGAGTCGTTCCCGGCCAGAAACATTTCCTCCTGACGTCATGAAGCTCATATCTCCTGTATAAAACATTAAGTGGCTACTGTTCTGGATTCACGTTTCACATTACACTGTTCGCAGATCAGACCAGAACTACTGACGCACAAACTTAAACTGTTACACCAGAATATGTGAGAAACTGATCTCAGATCACTGTTAAAAAGAAACATAAAGTTATGTGACTAGGAAAAAGTCTCTTAATGCAGCTGAACGTTGAAGCTTCTCACTGGCCTCAGATCAGAAGGATCAGTGGCACTTATGTAGAGTTGAACCCAGTGAACTCAGAGAGTTGTTAAGAAGCTTTAACTAATGTCTCTTTGCAAATTAGTTTGGTTTCCTTTGATCAGTGATGGAAACTAGATACAATCCAAATTGTTGTCTAGACCAGCACTCGTTTATGTCTGTGAGCAGATCAGCCGCTGCAGGTTCCTCTGGGGGTGAATGTAAACGTGTCTCTGATCTTCAGGTAGAGAATTCTTTGTTGGATTATCCAAGAGGACCAATCAGAGAGGAGCGGAGATCCTGGCCGACGCGTTTAAGGTGAGTCTCAACTGTCTGTCTCTCTTTATATCTGTCTATCGGTCTGTCAGCCCAAATATCTGTCTGCCAGTCTATATAACTATCTGTCTGTCTGTCTATATAACTATCTGTCTATTTATCTATTTATCCGTCTCAGTCTATATATCTGTCTGTCTGTCTGTCTGTCTGTCTGTCTGTCTGTCTGTCTGTCTATCTATCTATCTATCTATCTATCTATCTATCTATCTATCTATCTATCTATCTATCTGTCTGTCTATCTGTCTATCTATCTGTCTGTCTGTCTGTCTGTCTGTCTATCTGTCTGTCTATCTGTCTGTCTATCCGTCTGTCTATCCGTCTGTCTATCCGTCTGTCTGTCTGTCCGTCTGTCCGTCTGTCTATCTGTCCGTCTGTCCGTCTGTCCGTCTGTCTGTCTGTCTATCTGTCCGTCTGTCTATCTGTCCGTCTGTCTATCTGTCTGTCTGTCTATATAACTATTAATCTATTTATCCGTCTCAGTCTGTATATATATATCGGTCTGTCTGTTTGCCTATCTATCTATCTATCTATCTGTCTGTCTGTCTGTCTGTCTGTCTGTGTGTCTATATAACTAACTGTCTATCTGTCTATTTATCTATTTATCCATCTCAGTCTATCTATCTATCCATCTGCCAGTCTATATATATCTATCTATCCATCTGTCTATATATGTCTGTCTATTTATCTATCTATCCGTCTGCCAGTCTATATATATATATATATATATAGATATATATATCTGTCTGTCTGTCTTTCTGTCTATTTATCTAACTATCTATCCATCCATCCGTCTGCCAGTCTATCCATTTGTATCTGTCTGTCTGTATATCTATATATCTGTCTGTCTATTTATCTATCTGTATCTGTCTGCCTGTATATCTATATATATGTCTGTCTATTTATCTATCTATATCTGTCTGCCTGTATATCTATATAGCTGTCTGTCTGTCTGTATATCTATCTTTATACCTGTCTGTCTATATATCCATCTGTATCTGTCTGTCTGTATATCTATATATCTGTCTGTCTATTTATCTATCTGTATCTGTCTGCCTGTATATCTATATATATGTCTGTCTATTTATCTATCTATCTGTCTGCCAGTCTATATATATATATATATATATATATATATATAGATATATATATCTGTCTGTCTGTCTTTCTGTCTATTTATCTAACTATCTATCCATCCATCCATCTGCCAGTCTATATATCTATCTATCCGTCTATATATCTAGCTGTCTGTCTGTCTATTTGTCTATATCGTTCTCACTCTATATATCTATTGTTCTGTCAGTCTATATATCTACCCTGTCTGTCTGTCTATCTTTCCTCCTCTTCTCTTCATTCTCAGTCTCTCAGTGTTTAGTGTGGATCAGGTTAAGCTACGTTGAGGATGTTTTTCTTCTGCTGCGCTGCTTCCGCAGACTGAGAACCACATTTTTCCTCAATGATTTCCTCAATGAAAATCAAATGCCGATCGTAAGAACGGAACATTCTTTGCACAGATGCTTTTTAACGTCACAAGTTCGTAACGAGCCGCAAACGAGCTCGAGGATGCCTGCAGCTCCTTATCGTTCACGTGCCAATGGTTTATGGAAACTTTTAAGCAGTGCAAAGTCACCCGGGTCGCTAAAGTGAAAGCAGAGCTGCTTTATCAAGCATGTTCATAGTACAACAGACAAACGGTTTTTATAAATACATCCATACTTTCCACAAAAACAGTCACTTGTTCTCACTGCAAGAATCTCTGAGCGCATTTTCTCCTCCTTCCAAAGTCTGGAGTGCTTTAGGTGTGTTTTTCCAATAAGCGAACCGTTTTTTCCCCTTTGTTTACCCGCTGAGCCAATGCGCTAGTAGTTTATTTAGAGTACACAATATTTTCATTCTGTTTTTATGAGCAAATGTTTCTCCAGTCTGAGCCAAAATGCTTTTGTGGTGATGTGTGTCCCGACTGGACTCTGTTTTACAGGACTACACCGTGTCCACGGTTCCCATTCAGGATAGACTCCATCTGAAGAGTTTCTGCAGCATGGCCGGACCGGATCTCATTGCCATCGGATCCAGCGAAGCCGCACAGAAAGCCCTGAAGGTAGAAACACACCCGAATGTGTCCGAAAAACGTCTCAGGTTACGTATGTAACCATGGTTCCCTGAGAAGGGAACAAGACACTGCGTCCTCTAGTCTCCATAGCGACCCCTAGAGGACGCAGTTCTAAGTTCCCTTGAAAGGGAACGTCTCAGGTTACGTATGTAACCATGGTTCCCTGAGAAGGGAACAAGACACTGCGTCCTCTAGGGGTCGCTATGGAGACTAGATGACACAGTTCTAAGTTCCCTTGAAAGGGAACGTCTCAGGTTACTTATGTAACCATGGTTCCCTGAGAAGGGAACGAGACACTGCGTCCTCTAGTCTCCATAGCGACCCCTAGAGGACACTGTTCGAAGTTCCCTCGGAAGGGAACTACAGCTGATCTACAATTCAAGGCAAACCTACAGGGACGACGGTAAAAACGTTTTGTTTCAGGCCACTTGAATTCAAAAGAACACTTTGAAGAAATAAATAATTGAAATATTGAACAGTCCTGAATTGATTATTGCACAGGTTTTAATCACTAAAACGCTTGTATGTACAGGGTTCTACAATCGTGAAAATATAGCAAAACCTGAAATAAACCTGGAAATATAGCAATTATGAAATTGTTAAAAATTAGTCAAACATTAATGAACAAACATTTTTCATCTGCTTGAAATTGCACATTATAAATGTAATCCCTATAAAACTCATGAGAGAGAGTTTGGAATCATTAAGATTTTTTTATGTTTTATTTAATAATATAATATAATATATACACAAAAGCAGATGTGTGATGTGTGACCATTTAAATAAAATTATGTGTTTTAATATTTATATGTTTTTGTATTATGATAATGAGATTTATTTTATTTATTTAATTTAAGTTTTACAGTAAGGGAAATATTGTAACAGTGCCTCGCAAAAAATAGACTTCATTTTCTATGAGCAAAATAGAATTTCTTTTGATTTTGGGATAAAGTATGAAAAAATAATAGAATATAAAATATTAAAATATTATCATTTAAATAAAACGATTAAAATATATATAAAATGAATTATATATATATTTATTTATTTATTTATTATTATTTTTTTTTTTACAAAATATAATTATTTAAATCAAATCAACACATTTGTTTATTAGTTTAAAACATTGTATCCAAATGGATTTTATATGCTATGCACTTTTGATCAATTTAATGTGTCCTTGCCAAATAAAACTATTAATTTCTTTTAAAAAATTACAAATGATAGTATATCATCATGGTTTCCACAAAAATATTGTGCAGCACAACTGTTTTCAACATTGATAATAATCAGAAATGTTTCTTGAGCAGCAGATCAGCATATTATACTGATTTCTGAAGATCATGTGACACTGAAGACTGCAGTAATGATGCTGGAAATACAGCTGCGCATCACAGAAATACATTACAGTTTAACAGAGATTCACATAGAAAACAGCTGTTTTAGATTTGTAATAATATTTCACAATTTTACTGATTTTACTGTATTTTTAATCAAATGAATGCAGCCTTGGTGAGCAGAAGAGACTTTTTCAAAAACATAAAAAAATAATCGTAATAATTCCAAACTTTTGGAATAATAGAGCTAAATATTCCCAGAGGGCAAACTCTTATAAATGCATTAAACATTCCAGAATACGAGTTTAACTTGATAATGTCCAGTAAAAGCAGTCAACAGTTAAACACGATGAAACCAAAGTCTTGCTCCATCCTTAATGTGCTTCGTTCCTCCAGCGCGGGATCTCCGGGTCTGATGATAACGGGCTGCTCTGTGACGCTGGTTCTTGCTCAGATTCAGATCAACAGTCGGCACTGGAATGCCTGGATTTTGTGGGATCAGGATAATTGTGAACTGCGCAAACATGAAAAACATCGTAATGGAAATCGGTCGCATCGCATCAAAGTTTCCTTATAGCCAAAGCCGCTTTATCCGTCCCTCTTTCTGTGTCGTTCTTTTAACGTCACAAGTTCGTAACGAGCCGCAAACGAGCTCGAGGATGCCTGCAGCTCCTTATCGTTCACATGCCGATGGTTTATGGAAACTCTTAACCAGCGCAAAGTCACCCGGGTCGCTAAAGTGAAAGCAGAGCTGCTTTATCAAGCATGTTCATAGTACAACAGACAAACGGTTTTTATAAATACATCCATACTTTCCACAAAAACAGTCACTTGTTCTCACTGCAAGAATCTCTGAGCGCATTTTCTCCTCCTTCCAAAGTCTGGAGTGCTTTAGGTGTGTTTTTCCAATAAGCGAACCGTTTTTTCCCCTTTGTTTACCCGCTGAGCCAATGCGCTAGTAGTTTATTTAGAGTACACAATATTTTCATTCTGTTTTTATGAGCAAATGTTTCTCCAGTCTGAGCCAAAATGCTTTTGTGGTGATGTGTGTCCCGACTGGACTCTGTTTTACAGGACTACACCGTGTCCACGGTTCCCATTCAGGATAGACTCCATCTGAAGAGTTTCTGCAGCATGGCCGGACCGGATCTCATTGCCATCGGATCCAGCGAAGCCGCACAGAAAGCCCTGAAGGTAGAAACACACCCGAATGTGTCCGAAAAACGTCTCAGGTTACGTATGTAACCATGGTTCCCTGAGAAGGGAACGAGACACTGCGTCCTCTAGTCTCCATAGCGACCCCTAGAGGACACTGTTCGAAGTTCCCTCGGAAGGGAACTACAGCTGATCTACAATTCAAGGCAAACCTACAGGGACGACGGTAAAAACGTTTTGTTTCAGAATTCAAAAGAACACTTTGAAGAAATAAATAATTGAAATATTGAACAGTCCTGAATTGATTATTGCACAGGTTTTAATCACTAAAACGCTTGTATGTACAGGGTTCTACAATCGTGAAAATATAGCAAAACCTGAAATAAACCTGGAAATATAGCAATTATGAAATTGTTAAAAATTAGTCAAACATTAATGAACAAACATTTTTCATCTGCTTGAAATTGCACATTATAAATGTAATCCCTATAAAACTCATGAGAGAGAGTTTGGAATCATTAAGATTTTTTTATGTTTTATTTAATAATATAATATAATATATACACAAAAGCAGATGTGTGATGTGTGACCATTTAAATAAAATTATGTGTTTTAATATTTATATGTTTTTGTATTATGATAATGAGATTTATTTTATTTATTTAATTTAAGTTTTACAGTAAGGGAAATATTGTAACAGTGCCTCGCAAAAAATAGACTTCATTTTCTATGAGCAAAATAGAATTTCTTTTGATTTTGGGATAAAGTATGAAAAAATAATAGAATATAAAATATTAAAATATTATCATTTAAATAAAACGATTAAAATATATATAAAATGAATTATATATATATTTATTTATTTATTTATTATTATTTTTTTTTTTACAAAATATAATTATTTAAATCAAATCAACACATTTGTTTATTAGTTTAAAACATTGTATCCAAATGGATTTTATATGCTATGCACTTTTGATCAATTTAATGTGTCCTTGCCAAATAAAACTATTAATTTCTTTTAAAAAATTACAAATGATAGTATATCATCATGGTTTCCACAAAAATATTGTGCAGCACAACTGTTTTCAACATTGATAATAATCAGAAATGTTTCTTGAGCAGCAGATCAGCATATTATACTGATTTCTGAAGATCATGTGACACTGAAGACTGGAGTAATGATGCTGGAAATACAGCTGCGCATCACAGAAATACATTACAGTTTAACAGAGATTCACATAGAAAACAGCTGTTTTAGATTTGTAATAATATTTCACAATTTTACTGATTTTACTGTATTTTTAATCAAATGAATGCAGCCTTGGTGAGCAGAAGAGACTTTTTCAAAAACATAAAAAAATAATCGTAATAATTCCAAACTTTTGGAATAATAGAGCTAAATATTCCCAGAGGGCAAACTCTTATAAATGCATTAAACATTCCAGAATACGAGTTTAACTTGATAATGTCCAGTAAAAGCAGTCAACAGTTAAACACGATGAAACCAAAGTCTTGCTCCATCCTTAATGTGCTTCGTTCCTCCAGCGCGGGATCTCCGGGTCTGATGATAACGGGCTGCTCTGTGACGCTGGTTCTTGCTCAGATTCAGATCAACAGTCGGCACTGGAATGCCTGGATTTTGTGGGATCAGGATAATTGTGAACTGCGCAAACATGAAAAACATCGTAATGGAAATCGGTCGCATCGCATCAAAGTTTCCTTATAGCCAAAGCCGCTTTATCCGTCCCTCTTTCTGTGTCGTTCTGGCTCATTCCCAGATTCCCAGCAGGGATTCAGCGCTTGCAGAGGGATTCGGATATGTGTCAGCACAGCCTGAATCCATGCAGGAATTGTGATTTCAGGTGTTAAAGTTGGAATTATGATGGCAGCATCAGGCACTTTTATGGAATAAACTTCCATGCTTCATAGTCAATTTACAGAACCATGTATGAAGAAATACACACACACAGACACACAGACCGAGAGAGAGACACACACACACTCACACACAGAGAGTCTCACACACACATACACACACACACATAGAGAGAGACACACTCACACACAGAGAGTCACTACAGTAAGGGAAATATTGTAACAGTGCCTCGCAAAAAATAGACTTCATTTTCTATGAGCAAAATAGAATTTCTTTTGATTTTGGGATAAAGTATGAAAAAATAATAGAATATAAAATATTAAAATATTATCATTTAAATAAAACGATTAAAATATATATAAAATGAATTATATATATATTTATTTATTTATTTATTATTATTTTTTTTTTTACAAAATATAATTATTTAAATCAAATCAACACATTTGTTTATTAGTTTAAAACATTGTATCCAAATGGATTTTATATGCTATGCACTTTTGATCAATTTAATGTGTCCTTGCCAAATAAAACTATTAATTTCTTTTAAAAAATTACAAATGATAGTATATCATCATGGTTTCCACAAAAATATTGTGCAGCACAACTGTTTTCAA